AACTGTTTGCTTACATATTGACCAATCAAAAATCGCCTAGAACTAATGTCTTATGGCAAGTATACTTAATTATTTCACAACTGTTTGCTTACATATTGACCAATCAAAAATCGTTAGAACTAATGTCTTATGGCAAGTATACTTAATTATTTCACAACTGTTTGCTTACATATTGACCAATCAAAAATCGTTAGAACTAATGTCTTATGGCAGGGATACTTAATTATTTCACAACTGTTTGCTTACATATTAACCAATCAAAAATCGTTAGAACTAATGTCTTATGGCAAGTATACTTAATTATTTCACAACTGTTTGCTTACATATTGACCAATCCAAAAATCGTGTATCGGTGCTATAAAATAATTAAGTTTGAAATACGCTGAGCACATTTTGTGTGTGTGTTGTCTGTGTTTTTAAACTTTTTTTTCTGGATCTCTTCGGATTTTATGAACTTACAAACTACGTAGTGTTTTATTCTTCGGAAACGTCTGTGCAACGGTATTACCGATCCATTTTAAACGTTGTTCGCAGATAATTTATTCAGTTAAAAATAGATATTAATTAGATTGTAGCACTATTTGTTTTATGTTATAAAATGTGTTAGCAACACAATTCACCTTAATTACAAATTAATAAGAATTTCGCACCGATATTTGTCTGAGCACTACGAGCACGTCGTCGTCAGGCTATACTTATTAGCTTGACTCGTTGCGTAGTTTTTACTGCAATCACTAGGATCGCTCTCGGCGTCCGTAAGCTGGTCAATTGTTTGTTTTGAATTTCGCGCAAAGCTACACGAGGGCTATCTGCGCTAGCCGTCCATAATTTAGCAGTGTAAGACTAGAGGGAAGGCAGCTAAGTCATCACCACCCACCGCCAACTCTTGGGCTACTCTTTTACCTACGAATAGTGGGACTGACCGTCATATTATAACGTCCTCACGGCTGAAAGGGCGAGCATGTTTGGTGTGACGGGGATTCGAACCCGCGAGTCGAGCGCCCTATCCACCTGCCCATGTCGGGCCGGTTATAGGGTTTTTATTCATTTCTATCAAGACTTCTTGAACCTATGTGTTTTTTAACATCATGAATATTTAAGTAGGTGGGGGTGGTTTGGGTGGGTTAGGAGTTAATAAATCATAAACAAAGCTTAAGGACTTATATTGCTAAAATCCGGGGTTGGATTCCCCACGGTAGACACCTCAGATAACCCACTGCGACTTTGATCTAAAATCAAACAACATTTAAAAACAAAGGTTATATTCAGTGGCTTTTAAGCATTAAAACTGGATACGTACTAAAAACCTTCAAGTTAGTCCGAAATGAGAGTAATGTCTACGGATTTACAACACTAAAATCAGGGGTTCGATTCCCCTCGGTGGATACAGCAGACAGCCCAATGTGGCTTTGCTACGAGAAAAAAACACAAACGCATGACAGTAACTATGGGTCTGTATTTTTTCGTTGACTTTCTCAACTGAAAGACAGTGGATCTTTCTATTTCATCTAATGCTACTTTAGAAAGCCAAATGAACAGATTCGCTATTATTCACATCGGTTGTTGTTCCCATTTAATTATGAAGAATTATATCTGACACTACCGTTTCAATAGGTATTAGACTATAAATTTCGTAGCGCCGGCTAGCGGTAATTCATTGGATCATTAGCTTGGATACCAAAGCTAGTGGATAACAAGTTTCTTATGAACCAAATATTCTTTGCGATAATCAACTGAGCTAATGAGTAAACACTGGATGGGCAATGATCTTTTCCGTAAATTTTGGAAATGTGGCCTAGTGTTTAAAGTTCCAGGCTGCGTATCGAAAGGTCCAAGTTTCGAGGAAGAAAAAGGAATACATTCCCCGCTTTCGTTTGTTGACGTGTTTTAACTGTGATAGTCAATCCCATTATGCGGCTAAGAGTAGCTACGTAGGCGGCAGGTGCTAATGATTAGTTTCCATTTTTCTGGGCCTAAATTATGTATATTGTAGTCTGTGACTTGGCTATGTAGTTCTTATGTTTCACAACGCTCCGTTCAAGTTGAAATTACCAAATGATATTTGAAGAGATCAGAAGCACTAAATGGATTTTTTTTTAGCTTCTGGGGTTTAGTGCCTTGGAATTGAGAAAACAATCTTATCAGCAACATCTTACAACAGCAACGTCTTACAACATGTAATTGAAATACGTTGTCTGTACTGAAAAAATGGTCTAGCGCATTTCATACTTCATCAACTTTTGGAGTATTTCAATCACGACCCATTTGAAAAATATCGTACCAGGTTGTAATACGTAGTTTAAAAAATGACTAAGAGATGGCGGTAGTATTGGCCTAAATCTTGTAATCTGAAACGGGCTAAATATTCTTTATTGCTCACAAAAGAGGTCAGACAATAATGTGAAATAATTTACTACGAATTCAGAAAAGGGAATTATATAGAAAAAAAAAGTGACTACTAGAAACATGCTTGCTGCCCAAATATTTAATTCCTAAAGGCGGCTAGTCATCACCACCCACCGCCAACTCTTTGGCTACTCTTTTACCAACGAATAGTTGGATTGATTGTCACGTTATAACGCTCCCACGGCTGAAAGGGCGAGCACGTTTGGTGGGAAGGGGATTCGAACCCGCGGCCCGGAGATTGCGAGTCGAGCATTCTAACCACATGCCCATGTCGGGCCAAGTGGAAGTCAATGCTGCTATTTGGTAATTAGTATCAGTTTTTAGGCTGTGAGTGCTGCTTAATGGCTTTCTTTCAAATTTAGGGTCGGCTGTTTTTGAACCACACTGGTCTCTGACCCAGTTTTAACCAATTTTGTTCAAGTAAACAAACGAGTTCTCTGTTGTTGGTTGAAAAAAAATCATCACGTGAGTACACTTGTATATATCTAGCTTTCAGTTTAGCACATATATATATATTTGTTTCCCAGTGAGCTTAATAGACGATACTGATAGGGAAAAACGTTCATATTTCTCCTGTTTGTGCCGCTGTTGGCGAATTTAGTAGAAAGCAAATATATGAATGAAATATGCATATTTATACAGTGGGCCAGCAGTAAATTTACGGATTTAAAGCGCTAAAATCAGGGTCTCGATTCCCCGGAGTGGACAGAGCGCTAGAACAAACAAACTTATTTGCTAATTGATGTTTTATAATTCTGATAAACTGGCGGAAATTAATTTTAGTTAGTTTTTTTTTTTAGATTTCAGATTTTTTTATAACAAATAAGTAATTAATGGTAAATAATCTTAAAGGTTTCCAACTCCAGTTTACAGAAAGAGTTTAAAAGCTGCGATCTCTTTTTAATTTTCTTTTCGCTAAATTTTGATTTTTGACTTTCTATTGGGAAGTGAAAAGAGTTTAAGAACTTTTCTATTGGGTAGAGGAAAGAGTTTTAAGGACTTCCTATTGGGCAGAGGAAAGAGTTTAAGGACTTCCTATTGGGCAGAGGAAAGAGTTTTAAGGACTTCCTATTGGGCAGAGGAAAGAGTTTTAAGGACTTCCTATTGGGCAGAGAAAAGAGTTTAAGGACTTCCTATTGAGTAGAGGAAAGAGATTAAGGACTTCCTATTGGGTAGAGAAAAG